TTGACCTGTGTAAGAAAGGCATATACTCAGACCTCTTCTTCTTCTTCTTCTTCTTCTTCTTCTTCTTCTCTCTCTCTCTCTCTCTCTCTCTCTCTCTCTCTCTCTCTCTCTCCCTCGATTTCTGGATTGTGTGTAAGTTTCCTCTGTTTCTGAAAGGCCAGAGCCTCAAAAACTCTATAGAAGAGAGTTCAACTCAGCATACAAGGCCAGAGCCTCAAAAACTCTATAGAAGAGAGTTCAACTCGGCATACCTGGGAGCTCTGTGTTGTTATGTGCTATCAAGTCGCCTATGACTCAGAGTGACCCTATGCCCTAAGCCCTGCTCTATCCTGTGCCAATCTCACTGTATCTGACACACCCACCCCGATTACCCCAGTCACTGAATCAATCCACCTCATAGAGGGGATTCCTCTCCTGCGTTGTCCCTCCACGTTCCCAAGCGTGACCTCCTTCTCCAAGGACTGGTGCCTCCTTGCAACATGTCCAAACTATGTCAGACAAAGCCCCAGAATCATTGCCTCCAAGGAATAGCCAGACCCTCTCCAGGGTGAACCTGTTTGTTTTCTTAGCAGTCCATGGTATATTCAACTCTTCTCCAGCAACACAACTCAAAGGCATCAATTCTCCTTCTATCATCCCTAGTCATTGTCTAGCTCTCTGACACAAAGCAAGTGATTGTAAAAACCATGGCCTGGATCAGGCACACCTTAATCTCCAGAGTGACACCATTGCTCTTCAGTACTTTGGAGAGGTCCCTAACAGCAGACTTTTCCATTGCAATATGCCTTTTAATTTCCTGGCTGCTGCTGCCAAGAGTATTGACTGTGGAACCGAGCAAAGTAAAGCTGTTAACAATCTCTTCACCATCCATCCTGATGCTGCCACTTGGCCCAGTGGTGAGAATCTTGATGTTTTCTTGATGTTGAGCTTCAATCCATATTGAAGGCTGCAGTCCTTGACCTTCTGCAATCATATTGAAGGCTGCAATCCTTGACCTTCTTCAGCAAGCACTTTAGGCCCTCCTCAGTTTCAGCAAGTAGAGTTGTGTCATCTGCATACTGCAGATTGTTGGGGTCTCTATGAGGCCAGATAATTTGACAGCAACATATCCCATAGTGTTTAACGAGTGGAAAAGCTGAGGTTGAGAAAGGCTGAGGGAAAACAGAAATGTGTGTGAATCCAAAATCACAACGCCCCCTCTCCCACCTGCCAACACAACAGGGACAAGGACATGATGCCAACTGCCCCACAGTCTAGAACAAAGAGCCCTGTGCAAGCATGCTGGCGTGCCAGGAGGGACTCGGTCCTACCCTGAATGTTCCAGACGTGGGTGTCTAGCTATGAGACTTCATTTCCAGTCTGGCAGGTTTTTAAAACTACCTGTAAAATGATTTTCTATTAGTATCTGTAACTTGCACTAAGATGATCCACTCATATTTCCAAAGGCTGATTACTGTTACTGATTCTTTGCATCTGCACACAGCCTTGATGGATGTGCTCACTGCTGCCCAGTTGATTCTGAGGCTGTATAACTTCATGGGAGGAGATTGCCTGTCTTTCTTCCCCAGAGAAGCTAGTGGATTCGAACCACTGGCCTTTTGCTTAGCAGCAAAACAAGTAACACCATCACCAGAGCTCCTTTTAAATAAATACATGGGACTGGGGCGAGGTGGGAGGTGTGTGTATGTATGGGAGCATTCAAGGTGAATTAACACAAGTTCAAAGTCACTGGGGTCTAAACAAGGAAAAATTAGACGAGAAAGAGGAAAAAGGCTCGTGCAGCTGAGGCAGAAGGAGCCTATGATGTGGATCTCGATTTTATTACAAGCATGACATCAAGTCATCATGTAATTAGTTCTGAATGGATGGATGTTACTTGCTTAAGTTAGGCAATGCTGCTGTGATAGACATAAAACTGTCTCTGTTATGTGCCGTTGAGTGAGAACTGACCCATAGCTGACCCTCCAGCAGGTGTCCAGAAGCAGTTCATTGCAGAGGAGGAGACTGTCCATCCTTCTCCCAAGGAGCAGAGGGTTGATTCGAATTGAGTGCCTTCAGGATCGCAGCACAGTTTCTTACCATTAGGCTACTAGCGCTCCCTAGACATACCAGTGTTACTGTTGTTGTGTACCATCGAGTCAGAATTGACCCCATAGCTGATCCTCCAGCAGGTTTTCAAGGGCAGTTAATCACATGGAAGGAGATTTCCCATGGCCTCAAACTGCATGCCTTCAGGATTGCAGTGCAGCTTCTTGCCACTAGGCCATCAGAGCTCCCTGGACTACTAGTGGATGGTTTTAACAAGCAGAAATGTATTCTTCCCATAATTTGGGAAGGGAGAAGTCCAAATCCGTCTCTGGAGGAGGCCTCCTATCTGTAGTTTCTAGTGGAAAGTCCTTGTTCCTTCAGCATCTAAAGGCCAAACATTCCTTGAAGTTCTCCCTGTATCTTTGCCTTCTCCACTGCCAGGAGCTTCCTAGTGTGCGGACTTGAGAACAAACAAATCGAACTCCACTCCTGGCGAGTCTTTCTTGGTGGCTCTGAAAGTCCTCTCTCTCAGCTCATTTTCCACTGCTTTATCTCTAATGACATAAAAAGTGTTACAGAGCATACCCTCCAGAAAGCCCCTTACATGAGATCAGAGATGGGATTAAGGAGTGTTGCATTCCATCCTTAATCCTCTTGCAACGATTTGGTTTATCAGATCATAAGGACTCATAACATAGCTTCCAGGCTCTATCATTACATACACACAGTTTGGGAGGACCCAATTAAACCCTTTGCATCGCTCCCTCCCCATTTCAATTCTTTTAGTGGCATCTGGTTGCACTTAGCACATAAGGAGGGCTTTGCGGGACCTGAATGTAACAGGCAATTATCAGTATTTGCCCAAAGGTAGGCAGTTCAAATGCAACCAGAGGTGCCACAGAAGAAAGACCTGGCAACCTACTTTTTAAAAAAATTCTTTTTTTATTATGTGTGTGCGTGTGTGTGTGTACTATCAAATCACATCTGACTGGTACAGGAGGATATTGTCCCTCCTTCTCCAGCAGAGCATCTGGTGGATTCGAACCCACACTTCTAGGATTGCAGTGCAGCTTCTTGCAACTAGGCCACCAGAGCTCGCTAGCAACCTCTTTCTTAAACATTATAGCCTCGACAGTCCGGTGAAGCACAGATCAACTCTGCACACGCGGAGTTGCCCCAAGTCGGAGCCCACTCCTCAGTCACTAACAGGAACAACAGCAAACACATCACATTATCTGTGAAATTCAAGCAGCCAGAAATATAGGGAGACTCTAGTCCTGTGCCTGAAACAGACGCTCAATAAGCACTCGTCTCTCCTTTGCTCTATATTCTTTGTTGTGATGGCCTATTATTTTTTTTCCTGCAAGAACAAAGTTGGTTTTTGTTCACCTCTTAGAGGAGTAAATAGTAGTAATACTAGTAACAATTATCATATACGGCCTGGAATATGGGGTGAGAGGAAGAGGCAGAGGGCATGTGGGAACCACACTTTTGTCTCCCTTAAGTCCAGAGAAGAGCTCGGCGAACATGAACCCCCGGTCCGGGTACCTATTGGGATGGACGGCCTTCCTCTTCTATTTCGCCGAGACGACTGAAAGTAAGTCTCCTGGGGAAGAGTCGGGAGGATTTCCAAATGGAAAGAGCACCTCACTGCTTTCAAGTCCATTAGATTCACAGCGACCCCACGGGACAAAGCAGAATTGATCCGTGGGGTTTCCAAGGCTGAAAAATCTATTCAGAAGCAGAACTGCTTCCTCTCCCTCCCGCAGGGCTGCTGGTGGGTTCGAACTGCTGACCTTTCGGTTAGAGCTTGAGTGTTTCAGCGGCAAGCCACCAGCAATCCATACAGTCAACCAAAACTCAAAGCCAGCCCCGCTGCTGAATTCAGCACTGATTCCGGTTCATGGGAGCCTCGTGGACAGAGTAGAACCGGTCCACAAACTGCTTCATGTTTCTCCTGCTGAGCACCTGGTGGGTTCGAACCGCTGACCTTTTGGTTAACAGCTGGGTGCTTTTTTCCCCCCCTGGTTGTGCACTGTCAAATCAGATCCAACTGGCACAGAAAGAGATCGCCCAACTTTGTCCAGTGGAGCATCTGGTGGATTTGAACCACGTGCCTCCAGGATCACAGCGTAGCTTCTTGCCACTAGGCCACTGGAGCTCCCTAACAGCTTGGCGGATTTGAACCACTGACCTTTCGACTAGAAGCAGAGCACTTAAGCATTGCATTGCAAGGACTGCTTCTTTATTAAAATAAAAATAGAACAAAACAAAAACCCAACCCCACTGCCATGAATTCCAATTCCTGGAGACCCTCTGTTGGGTTTCTAGGGGTTAAATAAGAGAAGACTATTCATCTTTCTTTCATGGAGCGGCTGATTAATTCCTAGTGCCAGCCTCTTGATTAAGGAGAACTGTAGCCTAGTGGCAGGAAGTTGCACTGCAATCTTGAAGGCACACGGTTCAAATCCACCAGCTGCTGGACACTCTCCTGTGTGACTAACTGCCTCTGAGGGTCAACTATCAGATGGTTCTGACTCAACAGAATGACAACAAACTCTTTTAAAAAAATTACAGTTTTGTTTGTTTGTTTGTTTGTTTGTTACTTGCTGTGTGCTGTCGAATCTGATCTGACTAGTCCAGGAGGAGATTGTCCCTCCTTCTCCAGCAGAGCATCTGGTGGCTTCAAGCCGCCTACCTTTGGGATTGCAGCGCAGCTTCTTGCCACTAGGCCACCAGAGGTACAACAATAAACTCTTGATTAGCAGCCTAAATTATTACTTTGCCCAAAGTCTGTGAGATGGAGCTTCAAAACCTTTGCCTCCAAAGAGCAACATGTGTGTGTATGTATGTATGTGTGTGTGTGTTTATGTGAGTTTATGTGTGTGCAAATATATATGTATCCCTGTGTGTGTGTCTATGTCCACAGGCCACCATGAACAATTATCTCCTTTGTTATGAGACTAGAAAACCTAGTTGGTGTCAGGCTATCATTTCAGAATAATTTTATCAATTCTATAGAAGAATCATCATCAAAAGGGGGTGAATACGGAACAGAACTTCAAATTATCAAAGAACTCAAGCTGATTCTTAGGGAGGATATTTGAACAGAACTTCAAATTATCAAAGAACTCAAGCTGATTCTTAGGGAGGATATTTGAACAGAACTTCAAATTATCAGAGAATCCAGGCTCTATGGTTCCATTAAGGCTGAAAGACACTTTAAAAATATTGCACTGAGGAGATCATGAAATCTTAAACCTACAAAACCACAGTCTGAAGTCATGATTAAACTAAACAATAGTTTCATTAGGAAAATTTGGCTACATTGAGTCTTACACTTGTTTAGTGAATAATCTGCAGATCAAGTTGACCATGATGATTCAAAAGGTGAGGTGAGAAGCTTAGTGAGTAGTGAATTTATGTAAGTGATGATTAAACAATTCAGAAAAGATTATCAAGAAAGATGGCACAACTTGAATAAAACCAACATTGTACATGTAGCTGTTATTGACTTGATATACACTCTGGTGTGTGCATATTCCCTAAAAATAATTTTAAGAGACAAAAATAAATAAGACATGGTTCCAGCACCAAAGGAGAAGAAGGAATGGTTTTTAAAGTCTATTTCAAAAGTATTGAATGTTACGTTCTTGCATTGCCTAATGTCATCTTGTGACCCAACAAAAAGTATCCTTGTGTGATGCATTCTATAGTCTAAGAAACAATGATCTGAAGGAACACACTATTATGGTTGCCTTCATTGTTTATGGAACTCTTTTCCAATATCCTGAGCCCCAAAATAAGCTGGATATGCACTTATCAGTGATTTAGAAGTTGGGAGCAAAGCTTAACTGTGTACCTTTCAGACTATCACAAAAACCACACCAGGTGGAAATGTAAAATGGTGGAACCACTGTGGAAAACAATTAAGTGCTTTCTTTTCTAAGGAAAAGTTCATAGATGGAGACAGAAATACCAATTCATCTAGCAATCCCATGTTGCTGTTGTTTTTGTTGTTGTTGTTGTTGATTGCCATTGAGTCAAGCACAACTCATAGCAACCCTATGAACAAAAGGTCTGAAGCCCCTGTACTATTGACATTTATGAAAGTTCATAGAGTTTCCAGAGGCATGTTGTTTAGAAAGTGGATGCCACTCCTGCTTCCAAACCTATCTTTGACTGGGAGCTCCACCAAACACTGTCCACCACAGAAACCAAAGAAGTAAGAGTTGCATGTCCAAGTTCATTGCAACATTACTAACAATAGCAAAGAGAAGGAAATGATCCAAGGGTCTTTCAACAGAGAAATGGATAAGGAAATGATGATGATGATGCAGTCACACAATGGAGTATTACACAACACTTTTTTAAACAATAAAGAATTCACACAATACTGCATAAGAAAGATGCATCTCATGGACATTATGCTAGTGAAGTCAGTCAGTCACAAAAGGACTATTTCTGCATAAAATCACTACTAAAAACACAGCTAGAATCATTCTTGGGTGGTAACCAAGGATGAGAATTAATTATATTAATCTAATGTAATCAATGTAATAAAAATGTGGATGGATGACTGAATGACACTGTAATTACAACATTATAAAATAATACGTTTTTTTCCTTTTTTTAATTTTTTTTTTAATTTAGGTTGTTTA